ATTTTTTTTTCAGGGCCCTTTTTTTTTTTTTTTAATTTGTCTTGAGACAGGGTTTCCCTGTAGTTCCAGGGAAACTGGTGTGCACCATCATGCCCAGCTTTATTTTATATAACCTATCTTAAATAACATGACTTTCCATAACCTTCAAAAAACAACATACAAAAAGCTTTTAAATAATTACAACAAAATGTACAAATACATGCCGACATTAATCTAGTCAGTAAATTAATCTTGACTATAACAATCAAAAGGCAGAGTAATCTGGTAGTAACTGTATTTGTATATTCTTGAGGTCTTTTATAATTCTGATTTTTGGTTTGGGTTTTTTTTATATGTTATGAGTGTTTTGCCTGCATGTAAGTGCACCCACATTATGCAGTGCCTGCAGAGGCCAAAAGAGAGCAGATTTCCTGGAACTGGAAACTGATGCTAGGAATTGATCCTGAGTCTTCTGCAAGAACAGCCAGTGTTCTGAACCACTGAGCCTGAGCATCTCTCCAGTCGTCATGAGATCATATAATTCTGTAACAAGATAATTTCACTAAGAAGGGCTTTCCTGGCTTTATATGAAAATATACCTGTTGCATCAGACAATTTGCTAGCAGAAACAATTTCAGTACATTAAAACTAACCTTCCAAATGCATTAAATAATGATACTATTTCTTGTCTGGTTAGATAGAATTCATAACTTGGTCCACTTTCTGGCATATTTGCTATGAGCTTCTCAGAAAATAAAATCTTCAGAGCAGTGCCCAAACCCTGAGTCTACAACAGAAATAAGAAAAAAAGAATAAATAAGAAAATTCTTCATACAAAGAATAAATAAGGATAAATAAGAAGACTGATATAGACTTACTTACCTGAAGCTTTCCCCATAGTCGACATTTAAAACAACCAACACAATCCATGATTCTGGAAATATTTCTAAAATGCAGTCGAAAGTCCTCCTACAAACAATTTGTAACAAAATTTTATTCACACACACACACACACACACACACACACACACACATATTCTACTAAGAATTATTTTCTGAGTGCTTTCTAGGTGCTTTAACCTTGACCAATATATCCAGGGTACCAAAACAGGAGCGAACTAACATACATTGAGCATCCGCTATATACAAGAATGTTTCCATACATAATCTCATGTAATCTTCACAAATGCAAAAACAAAATGAATTTTTAAAGGAGGCAGAACTATTAAATACTGTGCCTAAAATTCTCACACTTGGTAAACTAAAATGTAAGAAGTAACTTAGATGATGTGTCTTGGTGTGTCTACTACATGTCAGTACTAGAGAGTTGTGGGATTGGAGGTATCACCAAAAACATAAAAGGAAGAAAGGGAGGGGGAAAAGGGAAACCTTTCGTAACAGTTAAATTATCGCTCTTCTTTTCTAGGATTATTCGGGTTTTACTAATTTTTTTAATAAAATGTAATGAATCATCATGTACCCATCACCAAATTATAAAAAAGAAATTACAAATGTAATTACAGCTCCCTGTGTCCTTAGTGTTTCTGTGCCCACTCTCAATGACTATGATGCTGAATTTGCTGTGTTGGTCCACTTATGTTCTTATACATTTAATACACATATGCACTCATTAACACTAGGGTATTATGTTGTCTATAACAGAACAACATACATTCAAGCCATCTACAAGTAGTGTATGTCCTTAAGGACTAAGAGAAAAAAGAAGCCAAAAGTGTCTCCTTTTCTTGAGTCAAATTAATAATTGATACGTCAAGTAATTTTGCCCTGGCCTTAAAGTGGAATCCAAACTATCAGTAGATTTTTTTGTTTGTTTGTTTTGTTTTTTAAGTCTTTTTCTTTCTTTCTTTCTTTCTTTCTTTCTTTCTTCCTTCCTTCCTTTTTTTGCTACTCTAACATTACCCCCTGAAGAGGTAACCCTAAAATCTTTCAGGGATTACATAAGAGCTCCCAAATACTTCTGTCATTTTTGGCCTTTGGAACACAGTATGTTGCTAAGAGGCCCAAGGACATTTTGACTTTTAGCCAAGAAACTGGCTATTTTTCTTCAGGGTCTTTTTACCCTAACTGCCTAGCCATCCTTCACACCATCCTCTGAAGAGGTTACCCAAATTGCTGATAGGGAATCGGGACACAGACCACTCTGGCTTCTTCCATGCTGAACAGGGATGCAGGGTGAGGCAATTGGGGTACCCCTTCAGTAGGTCTATCTAAAAGACTCCCAAATTGCATAACTCTTATCTCTAGGGGGAAAAGAAAGTCCTTGACTGGTAAATAGGAGATGTGAAGGAGAAGTAAAGGCAAGAGTAGTTACTAGCATTACAAGTTCTAGACCGGAAACCAGAAAAAAGTCAGAACAGGGCAATTTTCAAATGTTCATATCAGAGTCCATTGGAATTTCTTGAAAAGGGCTCCCAAAAGCATCCCTCTATTGGGTTCTTCCTCATTTTT